ATGTTTTTATTAATTGTATATAATAAAAAGTTAATATATATGTCAAAAAATATATTAGGTAAATATGCTCATTTGATAATACTAATTTTAAAAGTAACAAGTGATAATAGCGAAAAAAAAATATAAAAAAAAATTATACATCCAGCGATATTAGCAAAACAAAAACTAGCCTTAAACCAATGAGGGGGAAAAAAAATTATAAAATAAATTTTTTTTCCCCTCATTGAATCTTTATGTGTTATTTATAACAATCAATAACTAAAAAAAATTTTTTTTTAAAAAATTTAATCATCAGTACAAAAAAACGATACAAAAAAGATAAAATAAAAAATTGCACAAGATCATTATTGTTATTCAAGATATTTACAAAGAGATAAAAAAAGATATAAAAGTGCTCATTCACTAAATCATTTATTTTATTATTAATAGAAACCTATTAAAACTCTTTAAAATTTCATTCACATAGCAATCATCAGATTGACAAACAAGATCCAAAATAAACATGCTCCACAACAACAACAATATATTTAAAATATAAAAACTCAAAATAGTGATAGCCCCAAAAACTCTAGTATTAAACAATAATTTCTCTATTATATAATACACAACATTTATAATAAATATTCTTTGCAGCAACAGATTTCAACTTTGTGAATCTTTTGTACTTATACATTTTAATTCTTCTCAAGTAATAAAAATGAGCTCCAAATGATAACATCAAATCAGATAATTTAAAAAATTTATGTTTGCAAATACTTTCCAATAGTTCCTTCAGGTGGTCTGTAAACAACAGGAAGTGCTCTAACTTGAACCTTATTAAAAGCATATTTTGCTAATCCAACATTCTTGTACGAATTGATGAGACGAACACCTTGACTATAAAATAATACATTTATAGTATATTTATATTAAACATATTCTTTTGTCATACTGAAATAGCTTTTAAGTTATTTCAGAATGGCAAATTTATGCTTCAGTACATATAAAAAGTTGGTGTTTTTATACATTTACGTACGAAAGATATCTGTTATATTATAAATACTATACAATTTAATATTTAATTTTTTCTTATTTCAAATAAGGTTTTATATATATATATATATATATATATATATATATATATATATATATATATATATATATATATATATATATATATATATATATATATATATATATATATATAACCTTATTTCAAATAATTATATAAAAGTATTGATATAATTTGCTAACTTAAATTTTTAATTTAATTGTCAAATTTAATCCAGACAATTTTTGTAAAAAGGAATAATAATAAAGCCTCCAAAAATAATTTATACATAAAATAAAAAGTAATATACACAGGGTAAATGAGATTCATAAATAGATATAAACCCTAATTTGTTTGTGGGTAAGCCTAGGAAGAGCTCGTAAAGCTTAAATCCACCAAAGAGTAATATGAAAATAAAATTACTTCTGATTTGCAAAAAAATTTCTAGTTCTAGAAAATTGCTCTAACTCTTCAATAATGTCATATTTTAATAGAAAGATTAAATATAAAATTAAATTAAAAAAATTAAAATAATAAAAAATCATTAAACCATGTGGTATCACATAATACCATACAAAAAAAAAAAAACAACAACTAAAAAAACAAACAAAAAAAAAACAACAACTAGAAACAGTAAAAAAGGTGTTGTTATTTTTTATTTAAACTTTGAATTTTTGTAAAAAAATATCGTATTTCTTTTTACAAAAAAATATCAAAAAAAAAAAAAATTTAAAGTAAGTTTTATTTTATTTGTTGATTTTTACTTATTTTATTTGCTGAATTTTACTTTAAAAAAAAATGTCTATTATTAAGTCACTTAATAAACAATGATTTTATTTAAATTAAAATATAGCATTATTATTATTAATAACACTTTTGATGTTTAATTTTGGTGCAGACCATTGCAGGTCTTAATTTTAATAATTTAAGTAATTTACTGCAGAATTTAAACCTTATAATAGATTTTTGATCTAAAAATAAAAAAAGTTTGGTTTAAAGGGAGGTAAGAAATGTTTAATGCCAAATTGTTTAATTAAATGAACTAATAAATGATCACCTTCGGACACTATTTAAAACTTTGTTGAACACATCTTCTCTCATATTATGCTCTCTTTCAAGTATTTTAACAATTTCTAATGTAATAGACATAGCTGTTCTATCTTTAGCACTTTTACAACATGTTAATCGTAAACCATTCATGCGCAAACATAACTAAAAATTTATCATTAACTGCTAAATAACTTAGAAATTGAATAAATCTATTTAAATTATGTTTAAAAAATCTACTATTATTTACAACCAAATTATGTTATGATATAAATTAATAAAATTAAAAGTTAACAATATATTTACCAACCTCTTCTGATAAAAGAAGTACTTCATAATTTTTGCTTTTTCTTTGGTTTGATACATTAATAAGATTGTTCAGTACCTTTTCTAAAGGCAGAGCCACAGAACATCGACTTCCAACTATAAAAAACAATCTATTTAAATAAAAATTTGAGCTGTAAATAGATAGATGCTAAAAAATTACACTAGAAAACTTAATATGTATAGATAGCATGAATAAAGGCCAACTGTTAAATATTTTTATTTTATTCCTTGAGACAATATTACTTATTGCATTTACTATTGGACAAAATCATGGCCTTCAAAAGTTAAAAAAATAATTAAAATTATTAAAATTATGTTAAATGGTGTCACATTAAACATCTTATTAATGTATACATTAATCTTTATTATCATTAATCATTATAAATATCCAAAGAACAAAAAGGGTAATATTTAGATTCCCCTTCAAAAAATTTTCTTTAAAAAAGTCAAAACAAAATTTAAAAAATCATGACATAAGTTGAAACAAGTATGCTGATATCTTTTTTAATCTAAAATTTTTATCTATAGCTGATATTATTATTAATAATAATATTAATAGCTATTCTTTAGTTAATATTTTTTATAACCTTGATTTCCCAGCAACTCATTTCATAAAAATTATGCTAAAGTGGATTTAACTTAAAACAAGATATATCCATTTCTATAAATCCTTTGAAATTTTTTTTCAATTATGCTTCTAAAAGGTATCAAAGAGTTATAACAACATGTGATCAATAAAAATCTGGACAAAACTGAAAATTGTATAACTTTTTAATGGAATGATCAATTTTATTAATATAAAATGTATAATAACAAAAAAAAAAGTATAGCAAAAAAAATGTATAATAACAATAAAAAATCTTTAAATTCAAAAATCTTCTGTCAGTTAGTAATTCTGGCACATTAGCAGAGTTATGCACTTTGATACCAATTCAATATTTTTTGAATATAGAAAGTTTTGTACTTTATGTGAGTAATGTCACAAAACATTATCAGACCAGAAAATGATACTGTCATTTTAAAGATATTTTTCAATAAATTTCTCTAATTTGACAAGACATTTTGAAATATACTCATTTTCACTGAGTGCTTGGCCCAATGAAGCTATGTAATGCTAAGAGACTCCTTTTATCGAGAATGCAATCCAAATAAGTAATTTTGGCTCGAATTTGTCTTTTAATTTCAAACTTAAATCATTTGATACTCCATTTATGTTAAATAGAAACATTGGTGTCGCTTAAATAAAAGTATGATTCATCAACAATTACTTTTTTCAGAAAAATTGAAACTAATTTACAGTATTTTAAACAAACAGCTGCTTTTTATGCCGGCGTTCTTTTGAGTGTTTTGACTTTTTTTATGATAATGAATACTAGTTTTTATATAATAATTTTGCGTATGGTTGTAATACGTTAAATCGTTTTCAATTTTTTAAGACGCTTTATCTAATTTTTAGACTTTTTTTTTGCTTTGTGACCACTTCCAAACTTTTCTTTTCGGTTCTATGTTGTTCTCCTTTCTTTTTAGTATATTATACAAAATAGATTGACAATAAAGCTTTTATTCTCATATGGATCCAAATCCAAAAATGCATACACTAGGCCATTAGGTGGACAAAACTAAAAAAATTTATGTCTGAAAAATGAAATTCTTTTTAAAAAGTTTTTACTTAGATACATTGAGGACCTCAAAAATAATTACAATAAATTAAAAAAAGATATATTCTCAACAAAAACTCATTTCAAGTAAAATTTTTGCAAAAAAAAAAAAAAAAAATGGCGATAAAGGGAGAAAATGGAGTTTTTAAAAAAGCAAAAGTGTGTAATAAATTTTTGGTATATTGGCTAACTATTTTTATTAACATATCAAATAATATATAAAATTATTAAAAAAAAAAAAGTTAAAAAAAATTTTAAACCAGTTTTAGATATATTTTTTGGTAAAAATTAGACTTAATTTTTTTTGAAAAGACATCAAGGAAAAATGTGTGCTCTATTTTGCCTTTATCTCTTATACATATTTTGAAGGTTATATGTATATGTTTTTATAAAATTATCAATTTATCTGCTAGTATCTGTTACTTTTTTTTAATACTTCTTTTAATACTTATAATACTTTTTAATACTTATGCTTTAAAATCAAAGATGTTTCTTTTTAATACTTATGCTTGAAAATCAAAGATGTTTCTTTTTCAAGTTTCTTTTGTCGCAAAATAACAAGTATATATATATATATATATATATATATATATATATATATATATATATATATATATATATATATATATATATATATATATATATTAATACAACTTTTTAGTGCTTATATTATTTTAGTCTAATAATATTATTATTAGTAATATGTCAACCATCACAAGATATCAAATTCATCAATTCATAAGACAGCATGGTTTATCTATGTCTAATGAAAAAGACAAACTTTATGTTTACAATTTTATTTGTGAATACTGTTCTGAATTTGATGCTCAGTTTGTAACCTTTTTGTCCAAGTATCGTAAACGTTGGTCTTTAAGTAAAAGAATTTATGAAAACTTTATGAAACATAATTCAGTATGGCTTCAAAAAGACTTTATTAAGTCATTTAAAAATCAGGATAATAAAACTGAATCTATAGTTAGTGGTCGACCTGTAAAATTATTTGATGATTCATCAAATAAGACAAAGAGTCGTAAAGTAGCAGCTATGGACTTATTAACTTGTTCATCAAATGAACTGTTGTATACTAGTAGTTGTAATCTTTTTAAAGATAGCAGAATAAAAGGATCTAAAAGTAGTTTGAAGTTTATCTATTAAGCAACTTTCTGATACAGAACATACTCAAAACACTCTAAATGAAACTCTAGCCCTCATATTAGATAATGATATGAGCAAATCTGATTACCAATGCTTGAGAAATAATACTTTGAGCAAAGGTTGTAATCTCTATCCTGCTTACAATGATGTTTGTGCTGCTAAAGAACAGTGTCTTCCTGAAAAAACATTATGGACTGTAAATGATTTTTTGGCAGAAATTAACTTTCAAGCATTAGTTGATCATACAGCAATAAACCTAATACAGTTGCAGAAACAAGTTATTGATTCAATGAATGATCTGGTAAGGTTGACTTTATATTCTAAAGTTGGGTTTGATGGATCAACTAGCCAAAGGATTTATAATCAAGTAACAGTTAAGAAATAAAACAGAGATCTTTTAGAAGAAGCTAGTTTGTTTATTTCTTGTTTTGTTCCACTACAGTTATTTGGATTCATTAATGATAAAAAAATAATAATTTGGTCTAATCCACATCCATCTTCAACCTTATATTGCAGACCTATAAGATTTTTATTTAAAAAAGAAACCATTGAAGTTTTGAAACAAGAGAATCAGTTTATTAACAATTCAATTGCAAATTTATCTTTAACATTTTGTGAAAACTTAACAATACCTCATAAAATTGAAATAACGATGGTGGACGGCAAAGTTGCTACAGCATTATCTACAGCAACTACATCTTCTTGTTGTTGTTCTGTTTGCGGATGCAGTCCAAAAAAAATGAATTATCTTAATGCAGCTAAAAATATGCCATTGACAGAGATAGGTCTCTGCTTCGGTCTTTCAACTCTCAATGCTTGGATTAAAGGCATGGAATGTCTTCTTAAAATTAGTTATAAATTGACAGTGAAAAATTGGGCTACAAGAACTACATCTGAAAAGAAAATTATTCAAGAACAAAAACAGAAAATCCAGATAAGGTTTCGTGATGAAGTTGGACTGATAATTGATATGCCAACATTTGGTGGCTCTGGGTCTTCAAATAATGGAAACACTGCTAGAAAATTTTTTCAGAATGCAGAGAAGTCTGCTCAAATTCTTGAACTTGATGTCAGTATGATAAAGATGTTGAATGTGATTTTGTGTAAATTGTAAATATTCATGGTATCATATGCCACAGACTCTGCATCACATTCTTATCCATGGTTGGCAAGTTGTAGAGAGAATGGCTTTGCCTATTGGCATGCTCAGCGAAGAGGCACAAGAAGCTCAAAATAAAAACTTTAAGAAATTTTGAGAATCATTTTCCAGAAAGTGTTCGTGTTCCTAAACAAATGAAGATTTATTAAGGCGACTAATGTGTTCTTCTGACCCTTTGATAAGTAGTTTGAGAAAACCCCATCATCCTAAGAAAAACGCTCTTCCAAATGGAGTTTATGATCTTCTTAAATAGGTTCCAATTTTTGACTAAGTGTCAATTACATATTTTTGATTTTCGTTGGTATTTAAGATGGTGTTTACTTTATAAGTATCTAATATTTACATAATAAAATAATTAATATAAAAGTTTGTTTGTTTTCTTTTATATTTGTTATAAAGTTTTTTGTAGCTCTAATTGTATAAAAACATGCTTATTTTTATATGGTTGCTAAAGGTATTTAAACTACACAGTTAAAATTTATTTAACTGATCCTGTAAACCTTTATAATTAAGAGTGTTTTAAAAGTTTTTATTTCATTTTTTAAAGAAATTTTGTATTTAGAAAAAGTTTCAAAAAAAATTACCAACTGGTTTCTAAGAGCCCATAACAGCATAGCAACACCAAAAATTGATAATTTTTTGCTGCTAATTATGGGAAAAACCTGATAAATATTTTAAAAGTTGTTAATTTTGTCCAGCTAATAATGATTTTGGCCCACTGTGCACTGGTTTTCTAAGCAAATCTTAAAAAAAAAAAAAGGAAAATAAACTTTTAAATTTATTAATTCAGTAAACTAAAGATTGACAGGTCTGTTTTAAAATGGATCTTGTGTAGACCTGTCAACCTTTAGTTTACTGACCTATTAAATTTAAATTAAAAAGTCTATTTTCTGCTTTTTAGTGCAAAAAAGATTATATTTTTTAGCAAATGTTTTTGGTATATTTTATTTTCTACTTTTTAGCCTTTACAATAAATTACGGTGTTTAACAATGCAAACTATTATTATGTTGTTACTGTTTTGTTGCAATATTAAATATTAAATAGAGTTCAGACTAAAAAAAATAAAAAAAAGAGTTATGATTAAGTTCTCTAGTAGCAAGCAGCTTTGGTGCAATTTTAATAC